TTTACCACACCACCAATACCTTAAAAAAACAAAAACCACTAAGACACAAACAATACATTCTATTTACTTCTTTGATGAATGCTGTGGATCTCCGCTAACTTAGCAGCCAGGATTTCTTGTTCCATGTCAAACATTTCTCTTATTTCTTCAACTTTAATGTGTGTGTGTTTGGTAGAAGGGGATCACTTTTTTCCTTTCGTTTTCTAGAGCTCATTCTTGTTTTCAGTTGATTTTTCACACTATCTTTTTTCTTATTTGCTGATGAAATAATTCTCTATTTTTAGTTTATAATTTTGAAGTTCCTATGTTCTCCACTATATCTCTTTTTATATATGTACCTACTGCTTTATCTTGTTGTTCATACGAACTATTTTCTTCATATAGATTGATACTTAGTTATTAAAGGCCACAGATTTTCCTGGGAAGTTGGCATGAGCTTTCTCTGTTTCATATACACAGTATGTTTTCTGCCAATATCTTCTTAACTAGAAGGGTCAGTTGGGATTTCTATGTCTGAAAGTTACTGTTCTGTGGATTTTATTTAAACAGATTAAACTATTTAATTTTTCAAAAGAATAACTATAGAACTAGTAATATAACTATCAAATTTTGGAATGTGCTATAGTCTAAATATGGCCTGTACCCCAAGGCTTCCCATATCAAAGGCTTGCTCCTCAGTGTGGAAGTACTGAGGTAGTAGAACCTTTCAAGAGTTGGGTCCTAGTGGGAGGTAACAGGGTCACCACTAGAGACATTTCCTTAGGGGTTTGTGGATGAGTTCTAACAAGAATAAGCTGTAATTTACAGAAGAGAAGAGAAGAGGTTAAGAGGAGAGAATTTTAAAAGCAAGGCTTACCCCTCCCTGCTCTCTGGCTTCCTGCCTCACTGTGTAATCCTTTTTACAGTGGCTATGCTGTCAGGAGTCCATAGCCACGAGTCTAACTAGAGGCCAAACAAACGTGGCTACTGATCTCATACAAACTGAGCTAAGTAAACCTTCTTTCTTTAAACTTTACCCAGGCTCAGGTACTTACCATAGCAATGCAAGACCGACTAATCAAGGAAATATGGGGAATTCATTCACAGCCTTTTTGTTTTGGTCAATTTGTTAAAAAAAAAATTCTATTCTTAAACATCTGAAAATCGCTGTGTTAGACTGAGGCCCTTTATTTCCTTTTCCAGGTTCTTTATAAGCCTAACCTATCTTCAACTTCATATTCTACTCTTTCTTAATACAGATCTACATTCTACTTACTATTTCTTCAGCTGCCATGGTAAATTCCTGCCTCTACTCTGGTGTCAACATATATGACCTTTGCTGTTGCTGTTATAATCAGCAGAGCAGCTCTGCCCTGGTTCCCCGTTCCCCCTTCCCTTTCTACCCATCCAGGCTTTAACAGAGCTTAGTATCTTATATATGATTGCTTACAGCGTTAAATTCACATCGGAACAGAATCGACAGACAGTTGTGAGGCTAAAGAACCTGGACTTGAGGCGAGAACTGCTGGTCTGTAATTTGACAAGGCATGACAGCACCAAATGAATGAAACAGGAAGGTGTGGCCTTACCTAGAGCAGAGGAAGGCATGCTGGTGGTAGAGTTATCTGTGCACAGCTGATAGGAGGGACTCCTCGATCCCTGGACTTACTGGGTTATAGTAGGAGCACAGCCCCATACAGAGATGGATGCATTTACATGTTACAAGCTGATGTGGTTACATGTTATATATTTGACTCCCTGTGATTTGGCTTCATGATGGCCAAAAATCTTTGAATTTGGTTTCCCTATGGTGTATCTACCAAATGCCTGGGTTAGGAACAAATCTATTTGATTACATCTATAACATAAACCATAAGTTAATAAAATAGTGTTCTTAAATCAATCACCAATATCTATGACCCTGATGTTAGTGAACTCATTTTAAGACTAGGGAAGCTAACATACTAAACAAAAGTCTAAATACTAGTAGGAGGTCAGATCCAAGTCCCTACTGAAGCTACACAAGAAAGAGTACAAAGCAAGAGTCTCAACTCACTCTGTTCAGGTTGACATGCTGTCACTATGCAGCCCAGGCTGGCCTCAAACTCTAATTGATCCTTCTGGGTCAGCCTCCTAAGTGCTGAGATTATAGGTAAGAATCACCATGCTGGGTCTATCTTCTTGCACTATTTTCTTATTCTTTTTTTCCCAAACATGTCCTGATTTTAATTAGCAGCATGCTATGTATTAGAAATTATTTTAAGAACAGCAATCATCTTTCTCATGTAGTATTTTTTAAAAATAATTCTTTCTCTTGCATGCCAAATTACTTTGATGAAATTTCAATACATATTTTTATGTGAATATTGTTATTGGTCACAATTATATGGCTAATTTTGCTACTCGTAAGTAGAAACTGGGTATTCAGGACCCTGAGAACAAATGATTCTCAAGTAACTTATGGTAAACTGTCAGAATGCATCATTACATACACCCTTACTTGCTGAAGGCCATTAAAGATATACTAAAGCTCTTCTTCATATACCTTTCCAAAGACTTCTTGGTACCCTAAGCTCTGGCTTAGGCTCAAGTTTCCAATTCTTAGTCTTCCTTCTCCATCTTAGCAAATCTGAATGTTAACTAAAAATTCAACATGAATAACATCTTTTTCTTTTTTATCGAGACTTTTCAATGTACACCAAGCCACCAAGACTAAAATTAATAATGTTGGTGACTATGGCAAATAGCAAATTACCCTGAGACCAATTTCTAACTTATTACATGCCTCATCAGCCTTCCAGAATCAGCAGCATTATCAGGACTCCTTAATTGTATTAATCAGGAGTTGAGCTCAGACTCTCTGCACTGAAAGGCTACATGTACTGTTCAGGTACAATGAAATACTTGATTTCATTTTGTACTCTAAATTTCAGTGGCCTAGGACTTAGCCTAGCTTACTTAAGTATCAATCTACAGAAGATAAACATATGTTTCTCCAATAAAAGCATTATCCCCCATTAAGAGAGAGATCAATAATATATAATTACTAAAATTATTTAAGTCTGTTCTTCTGTTAAGGTACTTATTACTTGTCCTTTATATTTTATTTAGGAGCCTTTGTCTTACTTCCTTTTAGTTCATTGAGGTCTACATTTATTTCATCTTTCTCCTGCAGGCTTTCCCTGTTCTTTTCATGTGCATTCCATGATCTCATAAAGTCTTGTTTGAAGCCAGGAGGAGGTGGTGGTGGTGCACACCTTTAATTCCAGAGCTCAGGAGGCAGAGGCAGGTGTATCTCTGTGAGTTCAAGGTCAGTCTGTGTTACAAGAGCTAATTCCAGGACAGCCTGGGCTACACAGAGAAATCCTGTCATGGGAAAAAAAAAAAGTTTTCTTTGACTGCCTCACCCCACAGATCACTCTCACTTTTGAACTCCCATAAGAACTGAATGCCTGCAACTTCTTTTATTGCTACTGTATAACTATTGTATCATTTTTATATGCATTTAACAGTTCTTAAGTATTTCTATGTCTCAGCACTACCTGGGCATAGCTCAGATAATAAGCATTAATTCATTCAACCAGGACATTCATTAGGGTAAACATTGTCAAAGCTGATACTGAAAGAGAAAAGAGTCTATTTTAGTGTGGTCCACAGATCAGCCACACTGAGATCAATCCCCTGGAAGCTCACTAAGGCTGCCTGTCAGGCCCCACCCTAGTTGTCTGGTCAGAAACTGCCTTTCAGGATTCCCAGGTGATCTATTAGCACTGTTCAGGTTTGAGAAACACTTGCTCAGACTCTACAAGAATGAGTAGAATATTTAAGATATAACTTCAAATAACTTCATTGTAATTGCTTGTTTGTTGGGCTTCCTTATCTACTAACTGAAGGCTTGCTGAGGGCCAGAACTCTTCTATCTTTCTCACCACCAGCGTTTCCTGACCGGCCTAGACATTCAGCATTTTTCTCCTTCTTGAATGCATAAATGACTGGGAGAAAAAAAATAAAATAAACTGTTTCAGAAAGCTAATTTAGGTAGTTCTTTTGTATAACACAATCTCACATATTGCCATACAAACCCCTTAATCCAATTATTAACCAGTTTTACAATGTGCAGCTTTCTCCATTTTAGCAGCGGTATCACATGAACTTGATAAAGCAAACACCTGATTATCCTCCTGTCCTCTGAGAGAGCTTCCAGGGGCCTCTTTTACAAGTGAAAAGGCTGCATTTTAATTCCAGCTTTCACCAATCTGCCCTACGTGCCCGCACAAGGAGAGGGAGAGGGCAGTAAAAATGGTATGGCAGAGCAATTCTGAATTTATAAATATATGGTCAGAATCTGCCTTTTAAGATTCCCAGATGATCTGTTGGAACGTTTTGGGAAGTAATGGTGTAGACCATTATGAATGTATATGACCACGAATGGTTGAACAGAATACTTCAGGAAATAACTACCAGCAGAGGAATTAAATAAGATGAGAACCCTTGTCATTTTCAAGAGCAAACGGTGATACCAGAAAATAGAGTGAAACAGAACAGCGATTTCTCAGCGACAGAGGGTGGCAACACACCACCAGACCAACACCAAAGCAGATAGTGGTTAGTAACGTCCAAGAAACGTACCAGGAGCTACTTTCAGGTTCTGCAAAGAAGGAAGTCAAGGGAGAAAGAGGAAAGGAAATGGATGCAGAGTAACAACGATGAGGATGATGCGGATGAAGTATTTTTCGAGAATGAGAGCTGACACGCACTGGAAGGAGAGGGTGATAAGGGAGCAGGTTGCAGTGAAGCCCTATTGCAAAAGGAAGCTACTGCAGATGTCCCTGCCCAGCCCAGACCTCCCGAGGGAGGCAGCCCCTGCATAGGTGAGAGGCTTCGCCCAACTCCGCTAGCCCTGCGGTGGACGGAGCCACCTCCCCCGGAGTCTGCAAAGCCCTGGGTGGGTGCCGGAAAGGGCGGACTGTGAAAGGGTGGGCAGGAAACGGGGGCGGATGCTCGGGTGACCAGGTACTCACCTTGTCCCACCGCAGCCACTGCCCGATGGCCGTGTCCAGCTGGGGGTCCCCGGTGAGGTAGGGGGCGTGGAGCAGGTTGGAGTTCAGGTCACCATCTGCGTTCTCAGCCATGGCAGACACACGGGTGTGCGGGCCCGAGGGGCGGGTGAAGACACCGAGTTGGGGGGGCTCCGGGTGCGCTCACCAGGGTCCAGACGCCCCCTCCTCGCCGAAGGGCATCGGAGACCAACCGCGAGGCGTTCGGTCAGCGCCAGCCCCAGCCGCAGCTCCAGCGAACCGGGAGAGAAGGCGGAGACTGTCAGCCGCCTCCCCGGCAGAGCAGCTCCGGATCTCAGCTCGAACTGACTGAGGCGGGCGTGAGGCGAGAGAACAACAACAGTCCCAGATGTCTGGGTCGCCGCCTTCGCCCGCGCCGCCTTAGGCCCCGCCCCCGAGCCGCCGGCCCCGCCCCCGCCCGCTCCCGCCGCCCCGAGTGCCCGAGGCATGGGGCGCGCGCCCGGAGCCTCCGCAGCGGCGCGGACTGCCCCCCGAGGCAACGGTGCACAGCTGGCTTTATTTTTTTTAACGCCATTCCCAGCTGTCTCTCCCGTGTTACCCGCCCCACACTCGCACGTGTGTCTCCACCTGGTGTCCCTGACGCCTCTAGCAGCCCGCCTCTGCGCTCCCTAGGAGATCCCCCCCGGCGCCCGCAGGCCCCACCCTCTTCGCCTGGGGGCTCCGTCTTGCTGAGGGGGCGGGGAACCGAGGTGGCGCGCGTGAAGCCTCACGGGAGTTGTAGTCTCCACCCCGCCAGCTCGGAACCCCTGACGCTTCCCTTGGCTTCTTAGTTGGGCAGCGCGGCAGTAGTTCCCTGAGTTAAGGTAAACAAGGAATGTCGTGAGGATCAACTTGTATGTATTTGGTGCATGACAGTTGACGAGTTGTTTTCTGTCATCTCATCCATCCTGTGAGCTATGTGGTAGGTATAGTCCATTCCACTTTACACAGAGGACGCCGAATTTTCTAAGAGGCAAACCGAATTTTCTAAGCAATAGCGTTCCGGGAGAAATGAGTGAGGGTTCCAACCTGTCACAGCACCTCAGATGGCAGTTGCTTTTGCTCGGATGCAACAGCAGAGTAGAGGTGGGAAGAACAAAATGTCTGGAAAATAGGAATGTTGTCAGAAGGATGGGTCAGCAATTTAACCCTATTTTAAGGATGAACAAACATCATAAAATGCATAAACCACCCGGTGGTGGTGGTGCACTCCTTTAATCCCAGGACTCGGGAGGCAGAGGCAGGCGGTTCTCTGTGAGTTGGAGGACAGCCTGGTCTAGATCTAGTTCCAGGACCTGAGAAATAGCCGTGTGTCCAAGAAAGAAATTAATTGTCCACTAAAATAAGAATTAGTATCCATAACAAATATTAAATATCCACTGTATGTTAATAATTATGATAGTTGGGCTAAAAAGGTGGCTCAGCTGTTAAAGGCCAGGCTCACAATCAACAAGACAAGAATTACTGTAGGAGTTGATGCTACAAGAATGTAAATAATTATTTGATTCACGAAATAAAGACTGGGGTCAGAGCAATGTTTCAGCTGTTAAAGCTAGGCTCACAACCAAAATGCCAAGAAATAAAATCTAGAGAGATAGGATATGTGCGAGATGTTTATTTCATGATCAAGAGTAAATGCTTGCTGTGAAGAGTGGGAGTGAATTTGTCTGAGGTAGTCAATACAAGCATCTAGCAGGAGGGACCTGCACTGAGATTTCAAGAACAGAAAATAAATAAGTTGAGAAAAAAGTAGAGGGCATTTCAACCCCATTGATCAGTGATTCTCAAGTCCTACTAGGAGACTGTTTAAAATATACGTTATGCTAGTGGACATAATTCCCAGAGATTCTGAATTTGGGTAAGGTCTTGATAGCACCATAAAAATGTCTATTGATGTGACCAAGATGGTCATAATTAAGGTACACATTAGGACATATGTGTTGGCATTCTCTGGGAGATTATTAAGAAATGCAAATCTTCAGTATTCAACGAAGTTCTACTAGCGCATATTTGAATTTGAGGAAGTCTGGTTATTCATATTTAAATATTGTAAGTAGTAGGGTTCCTGGAGAATGGCTCATCTTCAGTTTACAATGGAAGCCCAACGACATAGGCTGTGATACATTGGTGAAGGAACAAACCGGCTACAGGATAGATGAACTTATCAGTGAGAATGAGGGCAAACAAGAAAGAAAAAGAGTTTCCTTCTACCATGTTCCTTTATCCAGGCTGGCCACATTTAGGCTGGGTTTTCCTGCTTTAGATAATCCAATCAAGGAAGTTTCTCACAGGAGTGCCCAATAGCCTATGTTCTATTGGACTCCAAATGCAGTCAAGTTGACAATCAAGAGGAGCTATCACAAACCATCCCCTCTAAAACCTCAACAGGTGGTCACAGTAAATACAATTCAGGAACAAGACTTTAAATCTTTTTAAGATTTAAATGACTTGCTTATTATTGTGTGTATGTGCACAGCATGTGTGTGTGTGTGTGAGGGGGTGACAGCATATGTGTAAAAGTTAGCATACAACTGTGAGACTGAATTCTCTCCTTCCACCATGCGAGTCCTTGGGATGGAACTTGGAGCATCAGGCGAGGTGGCAAGTATCTTCACTTGCTGAGCCATCTTGCCTGCCAACCAAGACATTAAATGTTGAAGAAATTGTCGTTTTGTTTTATGACCACTACAAAAAGATTGTATTCTCTTCTTGTTGCTTATAGAGATACTTGTCATAAACCCTAGTTATGTTTGCATTAAGGAAGTGTGTGTGTTACCAGGTGGTGATGGCACATGCCTTTAATCCCAGCACTTGTGAGGCAGAGTCAGGTGGATCTCTGTGAGTTCGAGGTCAGCTTGGTCTTCACAGCAAGTTCCAGGACAGCCAGGGCTACAAAGACAAATCCAGTCTCAGAAAAAAAAATGAAGAAAAGAATGTGTGTGTGTGTGTGTGTGTGTGTGTGTGTGTGTGTGTAAGGAAGAATCATCTAATCAATATTCTCCTTTAGGCCTTGTCAGATGCGAGGAGACATAACAAAAACAAATAAAAGGGGAACAGGGGATCTTTGTGGGAGGGGGAGTGGCTGCAGACACAGTAGGGCTATGGTGAAGCAAAGTGATAAACCCAGGGTACAAATTGTAAGGAGGCGCCTGCTCTCGTGTTTGTGGAAGTATAGAGTTGGTGCCTGCGTGTGAACGCTTCATTCCACTTTCAGTATCTGTACATAGATATGATTCATATATAATATAATATAATATAATATAATATAATATAATATATATTCACTTAGAGTATATAATTAAATGATTTTAAAAATTTATTCACACATACACACACAAGAATTTGAGGACATTTTTTACCATCCTATGAAGCACAATTTATAAACATTCAGGGTCAGAAATTGGGGTTCAACCTGAAGATCAGAAAAGCAAAACAGCTAGTCATTAGCTCTTACCTCAGTCTCAGTCTGAAATGGCGATTCTGCCTCCCAGAATCTCAGAATGAGACTGTATGTCTGAGAGCTGTTTCTTCGTATTTTATAATCCTCTCTAGGGCTGGGATTAAAGGCACGCACCGCCCAGTATCTATGGTAAGTAGTGTGGCTACTGGGATTAAAGGTGTATGTTACCATACACCTGGTCTGTAAGGCTGACGAGTGGGCCTGTTTTACTCTCTGATCTTCAGACAGTCTTTATTTATTATAATACAATTGAAATGCCACTACAATCCCATAAACCCTGTGCCCTTCACTGCCAGTCCTCTTGTCACTCAAGACTTTTCACCTCAGGTCTAAGCAACCTCAAATCTCTTTTCTATCTCTATAGTGATTTCCCCGTTCTAAACATTTCCCTTAAATAGAATCATCATGTCATTCATGGGATATTGTTATTAGTTTCTTTTAAGTAGCATAATTTTTCTAATGTTTACCCATTTTAGCAGTCATGGTAGCTCATGCCTGTAATTTCGTCACTTTGGAGGATTGCTGTGAGTTTAAGGATAGCCTGGGTTATATACTGAGTTCCAGGCCAACCTGGTTTACAGTGTGAGACCCTGTTTCAAGAAAAGAAAGATCTGTCCATCTTATAGCATGATCAATTCTTTCTTTTTCACTTGGTATCTCAATACATACAGAAAAGTATTTGATAGAATCTTGCACTCTTTCATGACAAAAACATGCAGTGCAGTAGGAACAGAGGGCAACTTTGCCATCCTGATATTGGGCATCCACAGGAAATCTACAGTTAAAAAACACTTTACTTAATAATGCAAGACTGTACCCTGCATGGTGAGGAACAGAAGAAAAGATCTGGTGTTGCCCCTTCCATTCAATACTATACTAGGGTCTAACTAGGGCAAACAAAGAAAAAAAAGATGTCAAAGGCATTCATGTTGGAAAAGAAGAAATAAAACCATAAAGCCATTCTATTCGTCTATGAAATGATCTGTATATATGAAAATTTAATTAGAATCAATAAATGATTCTATGTGATTTCAAGATATAAGATCAACCTATAAAATCAAGTCTATACACTTGAAGTATGTGGGAATAGTTAAAAATATTTTCAGTAGCATCAAAAAGAATGAAATGTTTAGTAATACATTTAACAAAATAAGCACAAACGTGTATTCTGAAAACTACTAAACACTGGAGAAAATCCCGTATTCAGATGATTGAAGATGAAGTTTTACAAGTCATGTCTACTTTCCTTTGCCATCGTATTTTTGTTTGTTTCAGTTTGCTTATATGGTTAAGTTATGTGGCTATATGCATGAGATTTTTAAAAATATATTCTTGTGATATATTTGCTTGTGTTCAAAGCAATATTGCTATCATAAAATGACTTACCATGTTCCCTTCTCTTTTGATTTTTGAAATAATTTGCAGAAAGTTTATGTTAATCTTTACTTAGATAGTGTTCTGGCAGGTCTAATGTCAGCTTGACACACAAAGTAGAGTCATCTGAAAGGAGGGAACCACAACTGAGAAAATTTATCCATAAGATTCAACTGTAGGCCATTTTCTTAATTAGTGATTGATGGGGGAGGGCCTAGCCTATTATGGGTGATGCCATCTCTGGGCTGGTGGTCCTGGGTTCTATAAGAAAGCAGGCTGAGCAAGCCATGGGGAGCAAGCCAGTAAGCAGCGCCCCTCCATGGCCTCTGCATCAGCTTCTGCCTCCAGGTTCCTGCCCCATTTGAGTTCCTGTCCTGACATCCTTCAGTGATGAACAGCAATATGGAAGTGTAAGCCAGAAAACCTCTTTCCTCCCCAACTTGATTTTTTGGTCGTAGTGTTTCATTGCAGCAATGGAAACTCTAAATAAGACAGATGGAAAATATGACATCATGCCTCCATGACATCTCAAGACCCTCCACCTTCGTAATGCCTTGACATACTCACCAACCCAGAAACTTCACCTTTAGGTTTTTATTTTAGTTACTATGTTTCTGTTTACAGAGTTACTTTGGATTTGCAAATTTGGAATCATTTTTCCCTGACTTTCTAGCTCTGCAGAGATCTTCAAACTTTAAGTATGTATGTATACATATATATATATACTAACTATATATATATAGTTAGTATAGTTGTTTGTCATCTAAAATACCTATGCTTTAGTATTTTATTACCTATTATTTTTCTAGATCTTTAATTAATAGAATTTAGTTATTGTGAATG